TATATATATATATTTTTGTTCTGACATAAACTTTAATAATGTCTTGTATTGCTCATTTACCTTTCCTGGGTGAACCCTTTCCCAGGCTATGTCGGGATTTCCCTGTTCTTTCCAGTCAGACGTGTTTCTCTTCTCTGGTGGCTGTGTAAACAGCAGAGACTTATGATCAGCAGGCGTTTACTGCACACGCTTCCCTGTTACTGTATGCAATCCTGTATTGCTTAAATGTTTTATTAAGGTCAATGACACCCTCAGTGATTCTTTAATCTGGGTGACTATGAACCTGCTGTTGCACGAATTAAAGTGCCGGCATCTGTCTTCCCTCGGTGCCGGCATCTGTCTTCCCTCGGTGCCGGCATTTGTCTACTCTTAGGGCTGGTGTAGACCTGGGCGATACGGGACGTGTGATCGTGTGCAGTGTCACACAGCGGTTGCTGCTTGGCCCCCATTGATTTCAATGGGGTTAGATCCACACGGCAATCGCTGAAAAAACGTGCGGAATCGCGGCGGGAGACTGCCCAATCCGACTGGCGTGACTGGGGTGCCATTAGAAAAGAATGGCACCGCTAGCGCGATCAGTGGTGGTGGGCGACTTGGTGACGGCACGGCAATCTGCGCACGAAACCGTGTGGTCTCGAAGTCGCACACTACCACTGTCACGAATCGCGCAAGTGTGAACCTGGCCTTAGTCCCAGCATCTCTCTACTCTTAGGCCCCATTCACACTGAGCGATTTATCACGTGGTAATTCCCGCGATATCGCGGCTATTTACCGCGCGATATCGCTCTCCAATGCATGGCAATGGGGCTCTGTCCGTCGCTGTCGCGGGTCGTGCGTCGCTGCAGCAGGACCCTTGTTAGAGCGGATTTTGCCGCGATTCTAGCTTGCTCAATGCAAGCATTTGCGCGATATCACGCAAAATGCAAATCGTGCTACAAACGCGCGATTTGCGAATCGCTCAATGTGAATGGGGCCTTAGGCCTGGTTCACACCATTCAAGTCAATGGCAACTGTTAACACCTTTGCATGGCGTTGCCCGTAGAAAAACACTTGCTGCAGGAAAATATGCAGGAGCTATTGTGAGGCGGATCTCGCGCGGTTTTGGTCCCATAGACTTGTATTGAAATCGTTGTTTTACATCTCTATGCAAAAATGCGCGAAAAACACGCGGAAACTGCAAACATCAAGTGTGAACCTTAGCTTAGTCCCAGCTACTCTCAGTCCCAGCATCTTTCTACTCTTAGTGGTAAGAAAGGTAAGCGTATTTAAAAGGAGACATCAGTAAATTTATATTTAAAGCTGAACTCCCAACAAGCCGCTAAATATGCAGTTGAAAACATATATGGGATCTGTTTTACTTGCCAAAGGATTTGTAGTTGTGATAAGCCAGTCCTGTGATCCGCTGCCAGAGAGACAACCTTGGCCACCACTGCAGCATCAAGAGCACAACTTGAACACTACGTCAGAACACAGCCCCAGCTTTCTAAGGCTGGGCACACACCTTACAACCATCGCAAGACTTCTGTCTTGCGATGGTTGTAAGGTACTTAAAAAAACGTACGATCTACCTATCTTGCATAGGCAGATCGTACTTGCGATTATCGCAAGCCACGCCCCCTGAGGGGCGGGCTTCCGATGACCGCAATGCCAAACAGGCAGTGTGCGCTTGCGCACACCGGCCCGTCCGGCTTTTATCTCACGAACATGCTACACACACGCCGAACATCGTACGATGCTCGGCGGGTTTTGAAACATGTTCGTAAGTTTAAAGTCGTGCGATCTTACAGTAGTAGAGATCGCACGGCTTCCACACACCTTACGATAATTGTACGATCGCGGGATTTCCCGCGATTATCGTAAGGTGTGTGTGGGGACCTTAACTGAGCAACAAAGAGCAGCTGCACATTGAAGGTGATTGCAGGTGGCCAATATCAAGATACGCTCACAGGGCTATTCACAGTAGGGTTTGGAGAAGGCAGGAGAAGTGAACAATCTAGTTCACGGCACACTAGTGTGCCGCGGCACAGTGGTTGAAAAACACTGCTCTAGTTACATCGTGTGTTGGTGTTTATTTCAGATAAGGATGTTTTAGAGCTTTTTCCCCCCTCTCTTTTAGTTGCTCTTGGCACCCACCCCGTACATCATAGGAGTCACTGCCAGCTTCTTCCTCTACAAGTCTGACTTGAGAGTGCCTGATGATATCTGGCTAGTAGACCTGGACACTATTGCAATGCCTCATGGCATTTGTAGTTTCACCACAGCTGGAGGGCCGGAGTTTGGCTACCCCCGGTCTAGGACAACATAGCTGAAATGGAGAGTGAGCTGAATTGGAGAATGTTTCCAGTTCAGCTATGTTGGCCTAGATTTTTCACTTCTGCCTCCTCCAAACTCTTCACCCTTCTGTCAATAACCCTTTTAGTTACTCAAGCTAGTTTCCCCTTCACATACACTTTAATTATTTTGGTCCTTGTTTTAAAAGAAAACTTGACTGATGAAAACTAGAGCTCTACAATCTGTGTTAAGGTCATCAGCCATCCCCTCTGTGACTTCCAATGGCTTCATATCTTTGTATTTGGTGTATAAGATTTAATGGGATCATTATCTGTGTTTCAGAGACACCATGTGGAGGATTTTCACTGGCTCTCTGCAGCTGGAGGAGAAGTCCAATGTTCTCCTGCACGACTTGCGTGAAATCGAAGCTTGGATCTACCGTCTTCTGCGTTCCCCAGTTCCTGTACCCGGCCAGAAGAGGGTCGACGTGGAAGTGCTGCCCTTGGAACTGCAGCCATCTTTGACCTTCGCCCTTCCCGAACCCTCTCGTTTTTCGTTGGTGGATTTCCCTCTCCACTTGCCTCTGGAGCTTTTGGGAGTCGATGCCTGCTTACAAGTCTTGTCTTGCATTCTTTTGGAACACAAGTGTCGTGATACACACTCGAGGTCATTTGTTGTTATTGTCAAGTATGATATCCTAATTGCAGAATTGTAATTGTTCCAGGTTGTTCTGCAATCCCGAGATTACAACGCACTGTCAATGTCTGTAATGGCTTTTGTGTCCATGCTTTATCCACTGGAGTATATGTTTCCTGTAATTCCACTGCTTCCCACATGTATGGCATCTGCTGAGCAGGTAAGATGTACGAACTTCTTTCCATTCACCACCGATTTCTGATGATATTTTACTGTGTTCTGATGACCCTTATCCATAATCCAGACCTGGTCAGTCTAGGACTGTCCCTGCAATGCCCACCTTATAAAGGGTTTGGAAACTGACTCTTACTAGGGCTGCAGCTAGCGATTATTTTCATAATCGATTAGTTGCCCAATTTTTCGATTAATCGATTAGTTCATTAAAAAAAATCTCTCCTCCCAACCAACTAATTGATAAGTTGGTTGCAGCCCTAACTCCTACAGCTGCAGATGGTGGGTCTCGCATCTCATTTGGATGCGGAGTCTTCCCAGGTTATGTGTGTGACTTGCCTATTAAGTTGTCATCTGCAAATTACACCACCAGGACCCAGAGCTAAAGTTCTGCCCCCTGGGAGGCATATCCATATGGAGAGGAGACCCAGAGCAATCCCAGAACATGTTGGTGAGTTTAAATCTACTAGTTAAACTGCAAATGCTTTGGAGATCCTACGGGAGAGGTGAGGTTCATGGCCATGCAAACAGCATTATGGTCTCTGTTCACCCTGCTTACCCAGAGAGCGTCACAGAATTAAAGCTGAACTCCAGGCAAACGGCAAAATACACAGATGAACTACATATAAGGGAGATGTTTTACCTGCCAAAGGATATGTATTTCCAACTATCATCCTGAGATTTACAAAGCTCTGCCACACATCACAGCCCTATCGTGTGTGTGTGTGTGTGTGTGTGTGTGTGTGTGTGTGTGTGTGGAGAACCTGATCTTTCACTGCAGTTTTACTTATACCTATAGTTCCCCCCAATCATTTGACTGGACAGTGAAAGGAGAAGTGGCACACTGATGAGTTCATCTCTCTGTCACTATGCTCTTTCAAATGAATGAGCTGCCCTACCATGTCACATCGCAGAGGTGTGAATGGACGCTTACCATATAAGACATCTAGGCAAAGGTGGGTTGGGCTGGTACGCTCCAGGAATTGCAGGGCACAGGACAATTGCATCTTATAGCAACCAATCATATTTCATATGTTCTCTTCACAGAGGAGGTTAGCACTGCTTTGAAGAGTGACATGTAAATCCTTACTGCTTACAGTGCATACATATATGCAGTGACCCCCCCCCCCGTTTCGGCCTACAGGACAATAGAGTTGTGTATGAATCTCTAGAGCAGGGGTAGCCAAACTCTGGCCCTCCAGCTGTGGTGGAACTACAAATCACATGAGGCATTGCAAGATTCTCACAGCCACAGGGATGACTCCCGGAGAGAGATGCAGCATGGGATTTGTAGTTTCACCACAGCAACGGAGTTTGGCTAGCCCTGCTCTAGAGTTTTTTACACAATTCATGGATCTCTAGTTACATCATGTGTTGGTGTTTATTTCCGATAAGGATGTTTTAGAGTTTTTTTTTTTTTTTTTACTCTTTTAGCTGCTCTTAGCACCCACCCCGTACATCATAGGAGTCCCTGCCAGCTTCTTTCTCTACAAGTCTGACTTTAGAGTGCCTGATGATATCTGGCTGGTAGACCTGGACACTAACAAGGTGCGTACTGATTCTTTCCGCTTATTGTATGCAATTACCTGTAACGGCTCTGATTTCAGTGGACTTTTCTATTTTCTTTTTTTTTCTGGCAGGTTTTAGTACCTACTAATGCAGAGCATATACCCATCCTGCCAGAACCAGAAGCATCGGAGCTCAAGAAGCACCTCAAGCAGGTGAAGGGGAAGCTACCCGATACAATGACATCTCCGCTTTCTGCCAGTTAAAGTTATTGCTTCACATTGCATTGCGCAGTCGTTAGAAATTGTTTTTGTCGTGCCCTGCATTTTGTTTTTTTTCTTCTCAGTTTTTTTTTTCTGTGTGGGCCAGTCTATATTTTATGTGTTTGTTTTTTTTCTTTAATGGTATGGCTCTTCTTTTCTCACTCCATTCTTTTTTTAAGTTTTTCCTCTATTTTGCAATATTTCATCCTTTTCAGATTTTTTTTTGTATATTACTCTTGAACAAAAACCGAAACC